TTCCCCAATCTGTGTACAATTTTCTAACATGAGGAAGGAATAACAACATATAAGCATAAGCAAGCAAAGACATGGATTAACCATGCCTTTCCAGTACTTAGAGTACCATAATACTTTGCTAGCCGATCCACCATTAAAGTGACAATCTAAGCTCCAAGTCTAGTTCTTGAGTGTCGCTTGACTCGGAATTTTGACTGCTTGAGCCCATTGAGTTGCTTCGATCTTTCTTGCTATTTTCATTCTATAAATTCAAATAACATAAATTGAAATAAACTAAATAAGCAGAATATTTTTTAGAATGGACAAATAATTAAGAAAAAATTATGTCTGTATCAAAATTTACCTATATATAGAGATTGTTGACTAATTTTATGTCGAAATTTTTTTTTTTTTTTTAAAAAGAAATTTGTTGTATTGTTAATAAGAAAAGAAATTACCCCCAAGTGTAGATTAAGAAGGTGCCTAGTCATGCTTGGCTGTGCTAAATGTTGGGTCTCTAAGAAGCCATGGCTTGGATTCCAACTGTAATGTAAAGCAATTGATCACAAAGTTAATGACAGACACGATATGAACTTTTAATTGATTATGAAGAACAATATAAACATGTCTATTGGGGCTCATATATATAATTGAAATTTATGTATTTTAATATATTAATACTAATCCAAGTTGGTAAACAGAAGAGCTTTTATATATATATATATATATATATATACACAGACCTTGCTGCCACAGGCGGCTGTGAATCACCATATCTGATGTTTGTCCTTTCATATTCACTTAGCCCCCCAATCTGTAAATTATAACAAAAATTTTTTAGGGTCTGCATAAGATAGTAATATCGGGAAGACAATTGAATTAGAGTTCTCTACATATCATATAATTGCAAAATGCTCAATTGGATTTGAATCTCACTAATGCTATTGATATTGTTGATTTATTTCTCTCAATTAGAACTAGGGCTAATGCCACTTGCTGTTAGTAATACAAAATATATGAAGAAATATCATAAGAGATGTACCAGGAAAATTTACATGATCAAACGCTATACATATCATATATGATTGTGTAAGCATGCAGGAGTTATGATGCTGATAACGATGATGATGATGCCGAGGAGATGAAAAAGACTGACATGACTAGATCATATAAAAACATACATATATTCAATGTAAATCCCACCAATATTTCTAAAATCATAATCATTGTTAATTATTATGCAATAACAGCTATGCCAAACGGCGATCTCACACAAGAATCAAGCGTCAAAAATTGCATATCCCTGCAGGTTGAATGAATCTAAATGGACTGTATTCATTCCTTGTAGTAATTATAAGGAAATGGGAATAAACCCAGTATTCAGATGAACGTATGTACTATACAACATATATACATACATACACACTTACCATCACGCTTGGGTGGAAACCATAAGTAGCCGAGGAGGCCGATGAGTAAGCGAAAGATGAAGACGGTGGCGTTGCGTAAGCCGTTTGCATTCTCATATCATCCTGCAAATACATACACATACACATACATACATATGTTCATTTTCAACAGATCGTCAAAACTAAAACCGAATGAATTAGTCCAAAAAAAAAAAAAAAAAGGAAACCCGATTTAAAAAAAAAAAAAAAAAAGGAAAAGGAATGAGATTACATATATGTATATATAAATACCTGGTTGAAATTAGTAGGGTAAGGAGTATGAAAAGAAGGATGATAAGAAGAAGCCATTTGACCATGTAATCTGATCTTCTCCAATTGAGCAACACCAAGGCCTCTCTGTGGCTGCTTAGGCTTTTCTGAGTTGCTCTTCTTCCCTTTCCTCGACGACCCTCCGTTTCCTCTATCGTTTCCCATGTTTGGCTCTCCATAATAACTGCTACCCATTTTCTGATTTTCTCGGAATCCAAAGAGACGAACAAGGAGATCAGATGATTTATTTCTTCTTCTCTTGCTGAAAAACTTTCTGGCAGACAACAACTGGGGGGCTGAGGAATCAGAGATCTCTAAACCCCTTTTTAAGGGTGTTGGCAAACCCAGTAATTATTGCATCGCTGAATCAGATTTTCTTCAGATTTATTTCATATATATACTTAGATTTTATGCTTTTATACCTCCTGTTTTCTTTTTTTGCATTTTCTAGTACGATATATTTTGATAAATTTCTTAATTACAAATGTGAAAAGGTAATAATATTTATTAGTGAAAAATAAAACTACTATTTAAATCTAATCCCTTTAGTTATGGAGTTTCAAGGCTGAGACTTGGAAAGCGATTGTCTATGATTTTAAAAATGTTTTTTTTTTTTTTTTTTTTTTTGTTTTTTCCTTTTTGAGGGTTATGATTTAAATGTTTTAATATGATCAGCAAAACGCCCCCACTCGCCATACCAGCGCGTTCCTTACTTTCTATATTTCTTGATATTTTAAAATTATTAATTACTATTATTATTGTTGAACCATCAATATGTCATTCCCCTCGTGTTAAATATTGATGGCCTCTTCCTGCCCACTGATTATTATAGCCTTTTTGCTAAAGTTTTCATTTCTGTCAAACATAAATGTCCATTTTTATATATAGAAAAAATCTTCTCCTAATTGAATTTCACATGTACTTTTTAATTTGAAGGAAAAAAAAAAATTAATTGGGTGATGTGTGTGTGTGTATATATATATGGAGATTTGAGGGAGGAGGGAGGGGCCATGGGCATGTGCACGTGGTTATGGGTTCCAAATTATAAATAATAAAATTGTTGCAGCCGATCACAGTGCCCTAAAAAGGCCACAGCTGTAAAAATTCTATAAGCAACTTATATTTTAAGGAAGGAAATGCTTTTATTTTATTTTATTTTTTAAAAAAATTAAATTAAATTATAGATTCTAGAAATCTTGTTTGCTGCACACAAAACAGGATCGGCCCCCCAATTTTCTTTTTTATATATATATATATATATATATATTCCACCTTCACTTTGATCAATTTCCCATAATCCAATTGTAGTTTCACTTGATATTTAAATTATGCTTATATTTATATTCTATTATTTGAATAACCAAAATGTCAGCATTTATTTATTTTTATAACAAATGTTGAGATTTATATTAATAACCTTATTTTTTTCCATGACATTTATTTTCAACAGGAGTTTGCAAATATTTGTTATTAGGAAGATGTATTAATAATTTATGTTGTCACAACGTTATTATTTGAAACATGACAACATAATATAGGTTTAAGAATATGATAAGTTTGAAAATTAATTAATTGGGGAAAATTATAGATTAAGATGTCATGTGAGGAATTTGGATTAGAGAGAGAGAGAGAGAGAGAGAGAGAGAGGAAATCTAATTGAGCTGTTCCCCGCATGATTTGTGGGGTCATATTTATTTTATGAGTTGTTATGTGGTGGAAAGTGAGAATCCATCCAATTTCTTTATACAGACATGTGAACTCTTACAATTTAATTGCCAATCAAACCCCCCAAATTAATCAATATTAATGTTAAACAAATACCATCTTCAAATAATTAATTTATATATATATACACACACCTAATCCTCTTTATATAGCTATTAGGCTTTTAAGAAGCCTAATGGTCGCAGAATTTAATTTTACTCTGTACCAAATGCTACCCTATATATATATACGTATCAAAATTATGATGCTGACTTTCCCCCTCCCCCCCTCCTCAAAACATAATTTTAATGCCTAGATATACTTTCATTTTCTGGCTACATATACTAAACCACAAAAGCTCAACATCATACATCACGTGTTCTTAATGAGATCAGTCAAGTGATATAGATATTACATAATCAGATTTTTCATACATTCAACTTAAACATATGTACACACAATTTTAATGTTGTGGTATCACGCATGCTATAATAGATTCCATATGTTATAGATAAAATTGGGGGAGAGACACATATTTTATGTCTCTTGATAAAGAAAATGACACCAATATTTAATTAATCTGGTTTTGAGTTATGAAACATTATATATAATTAGCCCAAGTCAATAGGGTATGGATTAATTCAGTTAGTCAAATTAGATGTCCCGTTTCAATCATTTAATATTATATATATATATATATATATGTATGTATGTGCATATATAATATTTTGTGTATGTATTATATGGAATCGCCCATCATTCATTTAGAGGTTTGAATTTTCAACTAGATAAGCATAGAAGGCTAGTTCCCAAAATGTTATTTATCGCCCGCAAATATTTTAGTCCTCATCATAAAGAAAGCATACACACACACGTGTGTTATATATATATATATATCATAATTCAAGAGATGCTAAGAAGTCATTTTTCCCACTGAAATGCTATCTTAAAATTTTTATTTTGAAAATATTTAAATAAAAATAATAATTTATATAAAAAATGGATTTCATCGTCAATGTTAATTAATTTTTGTTTATATCTAATTTTGACTTACTGAAATTATTTTTAATTAGTAATTTAAAAATAAAATGCTAATACATTAAATCAAATTAAAGAGGATATAAAAATATATCCATCAACAAAAATAATTATTTATGGTAACTAATTATTTTTTAATTGATGAACTTCTTGTTGGGGTAAATGTAATATTATTATTGGGGTTGATATGCAACTTGTGGAAAACGCAGTTTACGTAGGAATATAATATATAATATATATATGTGTGTGTGTGTGTGTTTCAACGTAAAAGTAATAAAAAAATCCATGTCGTGAATCAGATGATACATAAAATGTTTCATTTTTTTATAATTTAACTTAATATTTTTTTTCTATATTTATTTATTAAAACAAAAAAAAAAAAAAAAAGAGCGTCACTGTCTCCTCTTTCTGTACGTGTCAATGAGAAAGCAATCTGTAAGCTAATTGTAGGTTGCCACGTGTTGCAGTTCAATATCTGACCCCTTTGAATTTTAATATTATTTTTTCTCTCTATGATAACGTAAACATCAACTAGTTTAATCCTCCATTTCAAACAAAATCATATTTTTATTTATTTATTTATTTGTTTTTTTTTAAAAAAAATAATAATTTGTCAAACAATAAATTAAAGCCTATTCAAAACTCAAGTTCATGAACTTCGTATTAGCAATGATAAAAGTAATCACACACATGCCTCTTAATTGTATTATATTATACACGTATGTATGTATGTATTAGTTTTATATTTTGTAGATAATAAATTAGCCATTCATCATACCTTGTGGCTAATAAAATGTTTTTTCAAGAAAATTTGCATTGTGATAAAGATCGTAAGGGTCGGAGTTCTTTTGCCTCAATTTTTTTTTTTTCAATCATAAGATTATAAATGTAAATATTTGAGATACAATTTAAATTAATATATATTATGTTTATTATAAAAATAATGATTAATATTATTGATTAGTTGTCTCGATAAAAGAACACATATTTAAGTATTTATAAAAAAAAAAAAATTCACTGAATGGATCTAATCTATTGATTGATTATCAAGCAACGAATACCTATCATAATGATATAATATACACTAATTTTTATATTTGAGATAATCATATTTCCTAATTAGTATATTTAATGCCTTCATAATATCAATCTATACATATTCATTTACTACAATGATATTGTCATTAGGTATGAAATATGAAGGTAAGTGGATACTAATAAAAGATTTTTTATTTTTAGATAGAAAAAAATATTTTGTCTATAACTAATAGTATTTGACTTAAGAAATTTTCTTAATTAGAAGTGTTATAGAATAAAATAAGTTTCTGACTAAATCAAATGGGTCACACTAACTAATAATACGACATAACAATCAATAAACACAATGCTTGATATATTAATATATCTTATATTAGAAAATTATATTTTATTAAATGTGATTAATTATCAAAATTTTATTTTGAATGCTGTACATGTACTTTAAGGTTCACATATGTTTACGGCAAGTTAGTATCAAATCTTAAAAATATGGCAAACATAATATATTTTAGTAGAATTAATTAAATAGATAATAAAATAATTGTTAGCGCTCCAAATAAAACATATGTTGTTGAACTAAAATAGCTTTTGTTTTTTTTTTTTTTACTTTTTAAAATTAAATAATATTATGAACAAAATAATTAATCAAAATTAGCAAATAACGACCCAGAAAACAAGGTTCGATCATCTTTACCTTTTCCTTTGGGTTGTATATTTGTGAATTATATGATGTTATAGTTATAATATAATGTAAGAAAATATTTTAGCATTCTTTATGTTGTATTATTATATATCTCTAAACTAACATTTTGACTAATGAATTATTGATTTGATTAGATTAGATAATCAGTAAATGTTCCTTAAACAATTGAATTAGCAATTAAATTTTAAAATAAAATCATCATATGGACATAATTTAATAATTACAAGAATGATAATTAAAGGGGAGAAGAAAACAAAGGATTATGTTGATTAGGTGTGATTTGATTAGTGATGTAGTTAAGAGATAATATAATATTATTGAATAATAATGAAAAATAAACAAATTAGACAAAGCTTAGTGGAGAGAGATGTAGAGAATATATCGCATCTACTGTAGATTGTGGGCACATGGAAACTTACACAGAAGCTGCATTACTCCACACGATTTGCAACCAATATTATTTTTATAAATTACTTATAATTATTAATAATTTTTTAAAAAATAAAAAAATAAATAATCCCTGGGAAAAACGCTGTCTGTGTGTTGATTAAATTATATGATGGAGTACGATTGGGGAATCCATTCGCGATCCAACTGCAACACCAAATCAACCTCAATCCCATTTTTAATTAGATTCTTTTCTTATTTTTTATTCACCTTAATTTACTATACCTACACTTGTATCTACATATTATATGCTTTTTTATTTTATAATAATTATAAACATCATCTTCGATTTTTATATATTTTTTTATTTAATTTCATCTTTAGATTAATTAAAATTGCATGTTATCGATTATATATATATATATATATATATACATCTCTTCAATTAAATTTTAACAAGTGTATTTCATATGTATATGTATCTTCCTTGTTTATTACTAAAGATACTCAAATTAATATATATACATATAATTTATAATCTAATTTTTTAAATATAAAATTTAAACTCGAAAGAGTATCTAGGAACTTTAATTAAGGGTAAATAAATCAATTAAATTATTACAAGAGAATCCCTCAGATTCTTCAAAAAAGATTGATCCAATATTATCACATCATCAGCCATTGTGATGCAATCTTTACTTTTATAAACATTCCTTTTTAGTTATCTTTCAATGTACTTCTGAAGGATACATATTATATATGCAATAATATCTTTACATATTATATTACAATTATTCTCTTTGATTCATTGTTTGTATATGTATCCCCTCTTTATACACGTTAATTACTATATATATATATATATTTATTTATTTATACCTGCTCTATCTAGCTAATGACTAACCCAAAAAGCAAAAAAAAAAAAAAAGACTACGATCATAATTAAGGAAGCTTCTCCCACCCACTTATCAGTTTACTGGTAATGTTTCGAGATTTACTAATTAATGAGAATTAGGGTTATTACTCAAATGGTAATTATCTTTAGACATCAGTATAAATCTTTAGAGTTAATTTGATCATTCATGTACAGTATATACACGGCTTTTGTATAATAAAGTTGCTATAACTAATTAGATCCTACCATTTATGATATTTTTCTATACAAATTTTTTGTTGCATTCAATTTGGAAAAATTAGATATAATTTTTTTTATTATTATTTAAGCATATCTTCT